CGGGTGCACTTGCTTGCTGCGTTTGGCACCCTGGTGCAACCGGGCTTCGGTGCAAGTCTGCTTCCCGCTGCCATGACTGCCTGTTGACCAACCTGGTGAACCCGTCGTGCCTCCTGTGCATCACTCCGTGTGACGCGGCCTGCAGGAGGGGGGCGACTCCGCTACTGCGCAGCTGCCACTGCCGGCACCTGAGGACGCCCGTGGCGGCGAGGCGGCTGCTTTGCCATCCCCATCGGCTGCAGGACCTGCAGCCATGCCTGGCCCACGACACACGGCAGGACATCAGGTGGGCGGGCCTGACGGGCGGGGGTCGGTCCGTGTGAGGGAGGGTGTACCACACAGCATGCAACAGGTGCACCGCGTGACACATCACGGGAGCAGCACAATGGGGTGGCGTGCGTCGGCTGGGGATGGCACGCAGGTGGGCGTCCTCGGGTGCACTTGCTTGCTGCGCTTGGCACCCTGGTGCGGCCGGGCTTCGGTGCAAGTCTGCTTCCCGCTGCCATGACTGCCTGTTGACCAACCTGGTGAACCCGTCGTGCCTCCTGTGCATCACTCCGTGTGACGCGGCCTGCAGGAGGGGGGCGACTCCGCTACTGCGCAGCTGCCACCGCCGGCACCTGAGGACGCCCGTGGCGGCGAGGCGGCTGCTTTGCCATCCCCATCGGCTGCAGGACCTGCAGCCATGCCTGGCCCACGACACACGGCAGGACATCAGGTGGGCGGGCCTGACGGGCGGGGGTCGGTCCGTGTGAGGGAGGGTGTACCACACAGCATGCAACAGGTGCACCGCGTGACACATCACGGGAGCAGCACAATGGGGTGGCGTGCGTCGGCTGGGGATGGCACGCAGGTGGGCGTCCTCGGGTGCACTTGCTTGCTGCGCTTGGCACCCTGGTGCGGCCGGGCTTCGGTGCAAGTCTGCTTCCCGCTGCCATGACTGCCTGTTGACCAACCTGGTGAACCCGTCGTGCCTCCTGTGCATCACTCCGCTACTGTGACGCGGCCTGCCGGCGCCGGGGGCGCCCGTGGCGTGAGGCGGCTGCTCAAGCCGCACATGAGGACGCCCGTGGCTGCTGCTGCCCAATGCTTTGCATGCCTTCGGCTGCAGGACCGCCGCATGCCTGGCTGACGACACACGGCACGCCATCAGGTGGGCGGGCCTGACGCGCGGGGGTCGGTTCCGTGTGAGGGAGGGTGTACCACACAGCATGCA